TTCACACTGGCTTAATTAGTCCTGTGGTTATTTTTATGTAGTTTTCTACTGGTGATGGTAACAACCATTTGCTACTAATGATAACAGCTGGTTTAAGCTATTTGTACTTAAACATCTATGATCTTTTTTATACATTTGGCTGATTTCGGGTGAATGATACAGAAAAATCTAGAAGCCTCGGGTGGAAATGCCTTGTACCTTTCTGAGCAACGTACCGGGTCCCATACCTTTCTCACTTCTGTGGGACTTCACAATGTTAGCATCCATTTAGCAAGAAAATAGATTCTAATTAATAGCAGATCAGCTGCTGAATATTTGAATTGTCTGTGCAGTAAAAGAAGTGCACGCACACAATTTGACATTCAAAAAGGGTCCTGATGAGATCTTAGAAGCATAAACCGCAAAAGTGCGAAACCACCAAAAGATACTTGCTGCAAAACAACATGTCATCAGGTTTGTATAGACCAGACAATACAGTGGCCTATTAAGTAAAGTTAAAATACACTCAATTGCCTGATCTGAATAAAAATTAACTGGACCGGCATACGCCGTACACAGATCTAATCAGGATCAATTACATATCCACTACAATGTGCCACAATCTGATTGAAGCACCAAGAAAATGCTGTACTGCTGCATTATCTGAGAAGTTACAAATGAGATTGAATTCTGTGTATCCATCAGTTTATGTTGCCACTTGTAACCTTACATTGGAAAAATGGTCATTAATGAGAGGTTAAATTGTGTCCCCATATTCCTTTCAAATGGAAGTAATAGACCCCCATGACACTAGAATCTTAGAATCTCTACAGGGTAGAAGCAGGCTATTCAGCCCATGCCCACTCACCGAAGAGCATACCAGCTCATCCCTGTGACCCTGCATTTCCCATGACTAATCTGCCAGCCTGTACATCCCTGGACACTGCAGGCAATTCGGCACGGCCAATCCAACTAACCTGCATGCCTTTGGACTGTGGGAGGAAACCAGGGCACCTAGAGGAGACCCACACAGACACAGGGAGAATGTGCAAACTCCACATAGATAGTCACCCGAGGGTGGAATTGAACCCAGGTCCTTGGTGTTGTGTGATAGTAGTGCTAACCACTGAGCCACCATGCCACGTGAGTGAAATAAGAGCATAGACCTTCTCCCAGGTGTCTGACTAATGTTTGTCCCTTAACCCACATCTCCAAAATGGATTGCCTTGATATTTAGTTCATTGCTGTTTACAGAACCTTGCTGTGTATAAATGGGCTGCTTTGTTTCCTAAATTAAACTACATTTTTAAAAATATATGTGGTAGATTGAAGTGTGCTTTGAGATTTACTGATGTTATGAAAACTTCTATGTACACTACAGTTTCTTTTGCAGCCCAGAAAAAGGTTTCAGTCTCCTCTGGTTCCCTCCACTCTTTGAACCCAGATTTAGATGATAAGACATGGAATGGAGTAGGGCTAAAGGGGTGGTTCAGGGGTGTGCGCTGTTTCTGTGCAGCAGCAAGAAAGAAATATTAAAGTTGAACCTGGAGCTGAGGCAGTGTCAAAGGTTATGCAAAGTGTTGAGTTTGGCACAATGCAAATTCAGATGGAAAATAAATTATGCAGCTTTATAAGAACAACATAAGAACAAGGAGCAGGTGTAGGCCATCTGGTCCTTCGAGCCTGCTCCGCCATTCAATAAGATCATGGCTGATCTTTTCGTGGACTCAGATCCACTTACCCACGTTCTCACCGTATCCCTTAATTCCTTTATTGTTCAAAATAATATTTACCTTATCTTTAAAAACGTTTACTGAAGTAGCGTCAACTACTTCACTGGGCAAGGAATTCCGTAGATTAACAACCCTCTGGGTGAAGAAGTTCCTTCTCAATTCAGTCCTAAATCTGCTCCCTCTAATCTTGAGGCTATGCCCTCTTGTCCTAGCTTCACCTGCCAGTGGAAACATCCTCTCTACTTCTATCTTATCTATTCCCTTCAGAATTTTATATGTTTCTATAAGATCCCCCCTCAATCTTCTGAATTCCAATGAATATAATCCCAATCTACTCAGTCTCTCCTCATAAGCCAACCCCCTCAACTCCGGAATCAACCAGTGAACCTCCTTTGCACCCCTTCCAGTGCCAATACATCCTTTCTCAAGTAAGGAGACCAAAACTGCACATAGTACTCCAGCTGTGGCCTCACCAGCACCTTGTACAGCTGCAACATAACCTCTCTGCTTTTAATTTCAATCCCTTTAGCAATGAAGGACAAAATTCCATTTGCCTTCCTAATTACTTGTCGTACCTGCAGACCTACCTTTTGTGATTCATGCACAAGGACACCCAGGTCCCTCTGCATAGCAGCATGCTGCAACTTTTTACCATTCAAGTAATAACCCTTTTTACTATTACTCCTACCAAAATGTATGACTTCACATTTATTTACATTGTATTCCATCTGCCAGACCTTTGCCTATATCCATAGTCCAGGTCAAAGGCAGCATTCAACCCACTTCCTCAAGACATTTGGACAAGGATCCCGCGGAGTATCACTAATGCACCACTTATGAGTGAGATCTAAACCAGGTCCAAAGAGATAGGGCCAGGTGTGCGTTCACCTCTGCCATCCATATCAAAAAAGGATATCAAAGAATTGATTGAGGCAGTCATCAATGATTTCATCACCCAACATCGAGAAAGCCAGGGACCAGCTGCTGTAGGAGTCGAAACCAGTGTAAAAACTGCTGAGGTGTTGGAAGAGGATCAGGGAGGAGGATGGAGTCCTGACAATGAGACGGAAGTGAAGCGGCTTATCCTTCCCGAAAACCTCAAGTATTGGTGGAGCTTCATGATCAAGCAGACCACATAATGAAGGAAAAGACACCCGCCCTGACCAGAGACTGGTGTCACTGGCACAGAATGGCTGCTGATCTTCATGACTACTGTCAAAATTGTGAGGGGTGTAGTCTGGCCTAGAATGGGATCTCTTATTGCCAAGGGACCTTGAGAGGTCGTTGCAATGCACCTTATGCTCCTTGGTCCTAGTTATAATGGGACCGAGCATCTTCTCACATTTGCTGATATCTTCACAAGTTCACACAGGCATTCCCAGCCACAGGCATAAAGTGTTATCTACAGCCAGAGTGTTCGCTTGTGATTGGTTTATCTGTTTCAGTGTTCCATATTGAATTCAGGGTGACTGGGGAGACAACTTGCAGAGCAAAATCCTAAAAGGAACTTTGGAAGGTCTACAGCATTGCTAAGAGCTGTACCACTCCCATTATCTAGAGGGTAATGGGCAATACAAATGATTCAATTGTACACTGCATGACTGTCTGTGCACCTTGCCTCCTAAGGGTACACAAAAGTAGATCAAGTATCTTACAGTGTTAGTTTATGCTGATAATTTCACCACCACCAACACCAAGCCCGAACTCATCCACAGGCTATTCTCTACACTCTCTCTCTGTTGGATGAGGCCAATCTTCCCCATGGAACACCTCCTTAGGCTTACCTCCCCTCCTGATAGAGATAGCCAAGTCAATGATTCAATTGGCTGCATTCAAGATGGCAGTTCAAGACGGTAGAGAAATGCTGAGAACAAAAACACTCAACGATTGCGATGCTGAAAGGAATAACCTTCTAATTGGTGCAAGGGCATTCCTCTGAGATCTGATAAGGTACAGGATCTTTTAGATCCTGAACTCTACAGAGTCACCAAGCAGCTGGAAACTGCTGCCTAACTTTTGTCTGGAGAGCAGCCTCGGGAAACAGCTCACAGAGCAGTGTCATTTACAGGACAAAAGTCTAGTGGGTGATATGAAACCAAAGAGTTGGCTCTACAGTATCATGGGACCTAAAGAGTCAGTACATGATGATTCAAGTGAAGGGAAGTCAGATATCGATAATGAATCCTGGAAAGACCTGTGTGTTTTGAACTCACTTATTCCAGCCTTGGAAAGCAATGCATGAATGACGTGCTGGGAGCTGGCAACAAAAGCAATAAGTGCTGCTGATAATATGAACCCGCAAGACCTGACTTCGAGATAGTAGGAACTGCAGATGCTGGAGAATCTGAGATAACAAGGTGTAGAGCTGGATGAACACAGCAGGCCAAGCAGCATCAGAGGAGCAGGAAAGCTGAGTTTCGGGTCTGGACCTTTCTTCAGAAAATGGTATTCTGAATTTTCTGACTCAGCTTGGTGAGGGTTGTTTACACAGCTAGCTTTCTTTTAATGACAGTTGATTTTAATAACACTTTGATGTAGTTTTTCAATGCCTGTCTGTTTATTTGTATGATATTAAGAATTGTGAAAGGCATTATAAGTTATCTCAATGCGAATTTCACAGGCTGTGTTTGTTGTTTTGAGATTATAAAAGGGCAACTTTTCTCCATCAAAGTGAATGCTGAAAGCTTGATTCTCTTCTCATTTTCTGAACATTTCAAAGACTTCCCATTCTAATTAAATGGCTCACTGTTTCTGTATCTAGTCGATACTGGAAGTAGAATGGAAGATACAAGAGGAGTGTAAGGGGATCCTGAATGGTAAGGACTTGGCTATGGGTGAGGGATGAACCATAAAGGGCCATATTATGAACCATGTTCCAGTAGGTATTGATGTCCCATAGAACTCCATTGAATGCACTGAAGACAGATGTGGGATCACAGAGTTAGGAAAATTGACAATTCCGGATTCATGCTTCTAAAACAACACATCTGACCAATGACATTCTTCATTTCCGAAGAATGGTCTAGGCCCGAAACGTCAGCTTTCCTGCTCCTCTGATGCTGCTTGGCCTGCTGTGTTCATCCAGCTCTACACCTTGTTATCTTACATCTGACCTTTTGTTTCTTTTAGAAGCTTTTAGGCCATTCTAGAATAAGTTCAATCAAATTTGAATATACAGGGGATAATTTGAATCAGCTTCATGGTGTCAATTCCACTGGCCAGCTCGATTTGTTTTTAATTTCTGAATTTAAATGTTTCCTTCACTCTCCTGGTTGTGTGGTGTTTAAATCAAGTAAAACTGATACCTGATATTGGCCGCAATCTCCTTAATGATGCAGAAGACCTTTTCAGTTCAGCTAAAAACTTGAGCAAATCTTCATCACTTAGTCTGTCACCTTCCTGGAAACAACACAAAAGAAAACTCAACACTTCCAAGTACATCTGAGTCTCGTTATATGGGGTCATTAAAAATATTATGCATCTTCAATTCCAGAGATTTCACTTAAGGAAAATATAAACTTATCTTTGTCTTAAACACTAACAAGCCCGCAGTTTCTGTATTTGTTTTATTTTTACTTCTCATTCATTTGGTGTATGATTCAGAGAAATAACTGAATTTTTCACCGAAAGATTATATAAAGATCTGATCTTAAATCTGAATGTCAATCCCTTAAAAAAGAAATGACACCAGTTGTAAGGTATGTGTATTTTGTGATGACTACATAGTTATTGGATTTTGACTCTGTATGCTATTTCTTGACTTAGTCAAACTGCAAAACATTGTGAGGCAGATGAGTTCAAGAAACTCTAATGACTAATCAATACTGGAGATGAATTTGTGTTTAGTCAACTGCATGAATTACCAAAGATTTCCTGTGAGTGTGCAAATATCAACGCTTTCAAGAAAGGCAAGAAGTGATTAAATGAAACATATTTATCTCCTTTTGATTTGGTTGATGTCTCTTTGAATCATCATGCATAAGTAGACAGAATATCTGCTGGGGTTTCTCAATGTCCCAAAATGTCATCAGTAGATCAACAGAAAGTACAGTGCGACAGAATAATGGCCCATGAAAATTACCATGAAAAAGTTTAATAGTTACCTAAAGCAGAATCTTTTTAGCACCTCCTTCACAAGTCAAAGGTTCATTGTTATATTAGTTGCAGAGAAATACTTCAAACAATGTATATTTCATTCTATTTATATCTATTTTGTAGACTTCTAAGACTCTGAAGCTCCCTAAAGTCAGAACATAAGTAACTCAGGCAAGTCTTTTTGAGGTGAAAAAGAATCACTAAGCTACTTACGTGTTAGCATCATTTAGAATAATTGTGTGGAAACGCATCGACCATCAAGTAGGTAACTGTATTACATGTCTGTTACTTACCTACTTGCAAATTTCATATAGTTAATTTGCTTAATACTTCAAACAAAGTCTTTTGTGATGTTTCACCACTTTGAAGAATGCTGAAATTTTTTTTGGAATACGCCCAGCAACTACTTGAAAGGTTTGCTATTCATTTCCCAGGCATGATATCAAATGTTTGGCAAGCTATCAAGACAAAGAGAGATCCTTTGTGGGTAGTATGTGGTCCCTCAGTTCTGGACATCAAAACCTCATAGCCCAAGCAACTTTGTTTACTTTGTGCTTATTTTTATTCTTGCTGATTAGTCTTGGCTGCATTCTGTGGGCTGGAGGCTATAATGCACCAATACCTCACTCTTAGCTCTGTTCTAAATTACAGCAAAACTTGTTACAAGTAAATTAATAGCATGATGGATTTTACTTTTACATGTCGTCTGAGGTGTCATGATAGATATCTGTCTTGTTCAAAAATATCAAAACCGTCAACACCCCTGCTCTAAATGTAACCCTCCATATGCATTACTTTATGTAGTGCAGAAATACCATACAACTAGACAATGCTGAAAAATACCTGTTTAAAGAAATTATTGATGGTAATTGTGGCTGCTTTGAAATTGGACAGATTATACTGATCCTCCAGAAAAGCTGACCTCTCAGAAAGTCTTCTTTGTTGTGTGAAAACTTTCTTGTCTCCACTGTTTCCTTTACCTTCGCAGGGAAGAAGATAAAAAAAATAAGGTACTTTAGAATAAAAAACAAGTTTGTAACACTCTTAAGAGAATAATAAAAGTTTAAACTCTGCAGCTGTGAGAATTTAGTTTTACTATGTTACCATTGATGTGTTCAACCTCCATTGAATCCCTGTCTGATGCTGTCGAGACCACATTCATGATGTTTATGTAAGCCCAGGCAAATGGCATGCGGTATTTTCCCAATCGCTGGCAAAAGTTCTCTGCTTGAGACTTAAGTTTCTCAATTTTGTCTTTATTCTGGGAATGAAATAAGAACATATGCTTAAGGTACGAAAAGCTAAAATGAGTACATTAATGATTTCACAGGAACATTAGAATACATGAGTAGGCCATCCAGCTCCTCTCAAGTCAATTGCACTCTTTGATTTCCTTCATTACGACAGCGAATGCACGTCAAAACTCATTCATTGGTTTAAAATCTTTGACTATCCTGAGTCATAGAGTCATACAGCATGGAAACAGACCCTTCATTCCAACTCGTCTGTGCCAACCAGACGTCCCAATCTGACCTTGTTCCACTTGCCAGCATTTGGCCCATATCCCTCTAAAACCTTCCTATTCATATACCCATCCAGATGCCTTTTAAATGTGATAATTGTACCCACCTCCAACACTTCCTCTGGCAGCTCATTCCATACACGCACCACCCTCTGAGTGAAAAGGTTGCTCCACATGTACTTTGTAGATCCTTCCCCTCTCACCTTAAACCTATGCCCTTTAGTTTTGGATTCCCCCACCCTAGGAAAAGTCTTTGGCTATTCACCCTATCCATGACCCTCATGATTTTATAAACCTCTATAAGGGCCCCCTCCATTCTCTGACACTCCAGGGAAAATAGTCCCAGCCTGTTCAGCCTCTACCTATAGCTCAAACCCTCCAATCCTGGCAACATCCTTGTAAACCTTTTCTGTACTTTCTCAAGTTTAACATCTTTCCTATAGATCATCAAAAGCATTATATAACTGTGAGTCTTAGATCATGTTTCATCTGTGTTTCAACACAATCAGTCATTCTCCATGCCTTGGTACAGCTACGTAACAAAAATCTATTGATCACAATCATGAAAGCTCCAATTGATCTAAAAACCACAACTTTTTGAGACAAATTTTATGAATACATCTGCCGTCAAAGGGAATGCATCAACATTAATGAATACCTGCCGACTGAGAGGACAGAATAGGGAGATAACAGATATTTTTCAGTTGGTGGATAGGACTATACTCACAAATCTGTGTATCAACCACTCTGTTTATGTAAATAAAGTGTGAATGCAGTCACAAGACAAATGATACCTCAGGAAGGTGGTACTGACCCTGGAGCAGGTCCACAGAAGGTTCACAAGAATGATCCCAGGAATGAAAGGCTTAACATATGAGGAACGTTCAAGGACTCTGGGTCTATACTTGATGGAGTTTAGAAGGATGAGGGCAGCTCTAATTGAAACTTCCAGAATATTGAACAGTCTGGACAGAGTGGACATCGGGAAGATATTGCCATTGACAGGAGAAGACTAGGGCCCGAGGGTGCAACCTCAGAATAAAGGGAAGACCCTTTAGAATGGAGATAAGGAGAAACTTCTTCAGCCAGAGAGTGGTGAATCTATGGAGGCCAGGTCATTGAGTATATTTAAGACAGAGATAGATAGGTTCTTGATTGTCAAGGGGATCAAGGGCTACGGGGAAAAAGAAGAAGAATGGGGTTGAAAAAATTATCAGCCACGATTAAATGGGGGAGCAGACTTGATGGGCTGAATGGTCTAACTTCTGCTCCTATGTCTTGTGGTCATGAGGACACAGCAAATTATAAGACAGGATGCAAGAAGCTGAAGGAGGACAGAATATGGGGTAGAAGAGTTAGCAATTGATAGACAGATAGGAAATGCTGCTCTATGCAGAGAAATGGAATTTAATTATTTTAGACAAAAGCAAGTGTATTTTAAATTACAGGGAGTAAATGTTCTGCTTCTTTATACTCACAGTACATGTTCAGTGTGTACAGAATTAGTCGAACCAGCCAGTCGAACCATACTTTCCAGTCGAAAGTATGGAATTTGAAATGGAATCGAGTTTTGCTCAAGTCCACTTTTGTTCTATTTTCTGCAATTGCTATCATCAGCTTATGTTTCAATTCATTGGATCAAGCATTGCCTACAAATTGGCCACAACCCCATTGCAAGAATCCACTGAGTGCACTGATTCAGGACGACTTTTCAAATTATGCTCCTTTCCTCATGTTCACCGAGACTAGTGGGTACATTTTAAAAGACTTTTCATATGAAAAATGCATAATCTAAAAAACAGCTTTATACATTGATGGAAACTCTTAAAAGGTTCAATATAGGTTAAGGAGTGGAAACCTTAATTCAACAGTGATAAAAACATTTTCATCTGTATTATCAAAACTGCACCAGATCACCACTCATAGGTACATTAAAAAATACTTTTTAATGGACAGGAAGCAAAATGAATAATTAGGCTCTTTGAAGATTATACCACTGCAAATCTCTTTTATCAGAAACTTGAACTTTAATTTGACAAGTGCAGTTTCAAGCACATTTTTTATTGCCAGCTTACTGATTGCATGAGCTGCAACTCATAATGAAAGTAGCTGCCACAATCCTCTTTAAATGTAGGAAACTACAGGGTCTTCTCAGTCCAGAGTGAAGGAGGAAAATCACTGTTTTGTCTAAATAGAAGAGTCTCTCATGGTTAACATGATAAAGTTTATTTTCATGTTAATTCATGTTACAGGTTACATTGATATTATAGACATTGCTCCAGAGACTTTGAGGAGGACATAATGTTATGCCTCGCTCCTTCGAGATGCTATGCTATTCTGCCCACAAGTTCATATATCATCATCATTGGGGGTGCTGTTTATTGCACTCCTCAGTATTTACCCTTTCAAACTCATCTACAACAGTTTTGGGTACAATTTCGTGACTGTCCCCAGAAGAAGGATGCTGAGTTGTAAATATAGTGGTAATTCATATAAACACAAAGAGGCCATTTGTATAAAACAGTGGATAGGCTACAATTTGAATTTTGCATGCATTTCAGGTCAAAATATTCGAAATAATAGAGCTTCTGACTAACAGCATCATACAAAAGGACCTTTTAGAACACTCAAAGGCTTGAAGAATGTACAGGGAGGGAAGTGGGCACAATAATGTAGACAATATCTTGTCTACTTGCCCCTTAGATTTCTAAGGTTCTCCAAACACTCTCCTCTATGCACATGGTAGAAAGGGATGCAGCATGGCAGCAAATGATCTCTACTGCGTCATTACATTTTTTACATGTTGGCCTTGTCTGCTGGAATATTTGCCATATGTAATATAGAATTAAAATCCATATAAAAGCTTTAGGATGCTGGTACATTCATCCGTGCATAACTTCTGGTGGTAAACTTGCTACTGATAGCCAAGGGGGATATCTTGACTTGGATTTTAATTTTGATTTTATTGTCATGTGACCTCAAGTACAAAAGTACAGGAGTGTATAATATTAATGGAAATTGTACATTTGCAATTAAACATTCATTGAAAAATATGAAAATATCAGCTACCTTTGCTGACTCAGATTCTTTCATTACAAGATATGGTTCAGCACATTCTGCAATATCTCCCTGCTGAAGGACTTTCTCAATCTGAAAAAAAAACAAACATATGGTAAGTGAATAATAAAGGCACAGATATTTAGTTGGAAGGATTCATTCTGAAGTGACATACAAATTCCTTTTGGGATCATATCTTTATCCTTTGCAATTTTAAATAATTATTATTTTCAATAAAACAAAACAAAGATCTGTGCATGATGGAAATCTGAAACAAAAACAGAAACTGCTGGAGAAACTCAGCAGGTCTGGCAGCATCTGTAGAGAAACAGAGTTAACGTATCAAGTCTCGCGACTCTGCTTCAAAACACTTCTTCTGGAAAAGGATCACTGAACTCGAAATGTTAGCTTCGATTTTTCTCCACAGATTCTGCCAGACCTGCTGAGTTTCTCCAGCAATTTCTGTTTTCTTACTATTTTCAATAGATTATGCAAAAACTTCAAATCAACACATTGAGTCAAAGCACAGAGCTGATTTTTGTGGGAAATTAGTTAGTGTCAATTCTGGCAAGTTTCATGGAAGGTTTCTCTTTATGACTCCGCATGAGATTTCTCACACTATCTTCCCAAATCCACCTAGTTATCCATGCACCATGCCCCTACCGTGCATCACTCATCATATTCTCCCACTTGCTACAAGTAGAAGTACTCACCATTCATAGGATGTCCTTGGACTCCTGACACCATTTTTGATACCCAGTTCTGCACTCTGTCAACGATTGGCAGGCTGTAGCTACCGTGAACAACTCCTGTCAATTACCCCAGACATGTCATATACAAGGGAATTGGCACCCCGTTATGCTCACAGGGACCTAGGGGTCCTGGTGCCTGAAGGAGTATGTATGGTCACTGCCAGTGGAGAGTGCCCCGAGATGTTGGTGACTGATGCCCAAGGTGGATTCCCAGAAGAACAAGCAGTGAGATTGAGTTGCCAGGTTAGTGCTCTGACTGGGATGTCAGGAATTGTGGCTGTTTAGTTTCTATCTGGTGGGTGGGGGAATTGGAAATTGCTTATCAATGAGGTGATATGACATCATTATTGGCCCCTCATTGATCACTAAGAACTAGCCGTTCAACACTTGGTTGGAAAATGGCTGTTTTGGCTGTTGACATCAGGAATGTCCTTACTGCTGATCTCATGCGATTCTCCCAACTTTCCCTCCATTACGCACACTGATCAATGGCTGGAAATATTCCGCCCATAGTTCTGATGAAGGGGCATGGACCTGAAACGTTCACTCTCTTCCTCTTGCCACTGCCTTATCTACTGAGTACTTCCAACATTTTCTGTTTTATCTCAATTCTTTCCACTTAAATTCAATCTTGACAACTTTGCCTTGAACGAGGAAAATCTAGGAATTGGCAGACTCCACCAAGGAGTTGCAGGAGTCGCTCACAAAGAACTCTTTCTGAGATAGTAGGAACTGCCAATGCTGGAGAATCTGAGCTAACAAGGTGTAGAGCTGGATGAACACAGCAGGCCAAGCAGTATCAGAGGAGCAGGAA